TTCAAATGTGAGCCTCCTTTTGTAGGGTGTGTGTGAACATTAATCTAACATTTCCTAGTGGTGTGGGGCATAGAAAAGGTTGGGAACCACTGGACTAACTGAAAGAGAGAAGTTGGTAGCATGAGCTTTTGTAGAACTGAGCCTTTGCTGTTGCTAACTGCCCCCAAGTCGGATCTCCACTCATGACCCTATCTTCCACTTCTCTGCTTAGTTTCTGCAATCCCATACCCATATCCCCCTTGATAGAGTCAATCCATCCGGCTTGTGGTCTTCCTCTCCATCGTCTTTCTCTACCTTTCCTAGCATTATTGTCTTTTCCAGTGATCCATGCCTTCTCATTATATGGCCACAGTACTGTACATCAGTCTCAAACTTTATCATTTTGGCTTCTAATAAGATCTCTGCCTTGATCTGTTCCAAGATCCATCTGTTTGTCCTTTTGGCTGTCCATAATATCCTCAGTACTATTCTCCAGCACCACATTTCAAACAGAAGAAAACAGATTTTTCTTCTGTCGATTTCCTTTACTCTCTAGCTCACCCATCCATCCGTAGTGATGGGGAATACAATGGCTTGGACAATTCAATTTTTTGTGCTCAGTTGTGTATCTATATTCTTCAGTAGTTTTTCTAGTTCTTTCATAGCTGTCCTTCCCATTCCCAGTCTTCTTAGTTCCTGAGTGCATTCACCATTCCTGTCTATATTTGATCCTAGATTTGAGCCTACAAATGGGACTCTCAAGGAAGGGGTCCAGAGAGCAGTGTTTGGGCCTTTGCAGACTGCCAGAAATAGTGCAAATTGAGTCCACTTTAACTGCCCTGACTCAGTGCTAGGGAATCATGGGAACTGTAGTTTATTGTGGCACCAGAGCTCTCTGACAGAGAAGGCTCAATGTCTCAGAAAAAAATACAATTCCCATGATTCCCTAGCACTGAGCCAGGGCAGTTAAAGTGGACTCAAGTTGCATTATTTCTGGCAGTCTGTAAAGGCTCTTTCTTGGGAGTGTTGGGCCCTGCTGCTTTATTGCAGAGCAAGGGCTGTTTGCAAGGAAAAGGAAGAAAGGATGGAAGAGCCCTGTATGTAAGGCACTGTCCTGTGCCTGTTAGTGCCGGGCACTAAATTTCTGTGTTAATTTGGTACGCCTCCCATTCAGACCAAATTTTGTTATGATTTAAGTCAACCTATACCTTTGGGACAAACAGCCCAGAAAGGGGTTTGGTCTGAGCCACAATCAGTGGGATCCTGTCCATGGATGCTCAGAAATAAACCCCCTGGTTTTGTTGGCACTTACCTGAGAGTGGTTTGCAGCCTAGCCCAGGTTTCAGCATCCAGGTCCAGACTGGGCTGGAGCAGGAGAAGGAAGAAAGGGTTTACGACTCCTCTGATCATATGTGAATATCCTTTTGCCCCCATAACCATAATGGGTGGACATTTATCTCCATAAATGAAAAAGCAGCTTTTATTGCAGAAAGCATGATTTAGAGTGCATTGGCATCTCTTGTCTTTAGAAACAGTGCATTGGATAGTACCTTTGGGTATGTCTTTCAGTACACGTGCAGTTGAGTATCCCATGATAGGGTTGCCATAATTCAGGAACGACTTGCAGGCAGACAACAACAACAAATTCCTGAAAAGCTGAAATCCTCCAAAATCCACACTTATCCACATAGGTGGCTGAGGTAGTGACACCTTTGCTGTCTGATGGTTCAGTGTACACAAACTTTGTTCTGTGCACAAAATTATTTGTGTTGTGTATAAAATTGCCTGCAGCCTATACGTATAAGGTATACAGTGTATGAAACATAAATGAATTTCATGTTTGGACTTGGGTCCCATTTCCGAGATAACTTCATTATGTATATGCAAAAATATCCTGAAATCCGTAAAACTTCTGGTCCCAAGCATTTTGGCTAAGTGCAATTCAACCTGTACTACTTTAGGCAATTCTTTGTCAAGGGAATTGTTCTCCCTCAGAACAGACTACATATCCTCAGGAATCTTTGGAAGCAGAGCTGCTCCAAGAGGTTTAATATTCCTTTTCTCCTTGACTAGTGATCTGAAAAAGCAGTGTGGGTAGTGTGTCAGACCTGGAAATCTTTTTCTCCAGAAATAAAGCTTTTAAGTGCCCCCTCCCAGCAAAACTCTATTGCTTCAAATTCAATTTTAAGAGGAAGTTAAATGAGCACCGTCCTGTCACTAGGAATTGGGTCTTGCCTGTAGTAGTCCCTTTCTTTGTGAAATTCTCCAAAAGATGGGTCCACACAGGCTTCCCTTTTAACTTGGCTGAAATGAGCCAACCCTTTTGCCTTGTTAGTTTTAGGTTGGCTTCTGAAAAATGTTTGTTTTAGATTGGCGTTTAAATTGCTCCTTGTGTACTTTTGGTGTTGTGTGGCTACTTTACTGTTATTGTGTTTGGTTTATTTTGATTGCATTGTTTATGGCTTTTGTCTTTTCTAGTCTGTGAACTACTTCTAAAGATAAGAGAAAGTAATATGTAAGTGTTTTAAAATAGATAAATAGAAAGGAAAGGTTCTGCTTAAGGAAAATCTGAAATAAGGCAGAATCCAGAAAATGTGACTAATTGGATTCTATGGGATTTCACTATTTTCTCCC